AGAATTAAAAAATTTTAAAGTAAAAAAAAATTATTTAAGAATGTAATTCCTAAAAAAAATAAAATTAAAAGTATCTCTCCGTGTGCACGGAGACTTGTGTCTCCCCGTGCACGGAGACTTTTTGTCTCCGGAGTAAATTTTTTTTGTTTAATATTTGTGTTGTTTACATTATAAATTTTTTTTCAATATAAAATTATTTTCTCTTAATAATTCCAAATAGAGACTTAGATTCGAGAATTTTATTTTTTTTGCATTGTAGTTTTACGTTATAAATAATCGTTTTTTCAATTTAAAATTAATTTTTCTTCAAATTTTTTACTTAAAATAACTTTTTCTAAAATATTTTATGTCTTATACTATCTTTATTTTTTAACTTTTTTTAATATAAAAGTGATTTTTCTTTTCTTAAATCCCTACTATATATATCTATATAAGAGTAGTTGAGCACGGAGTGGTGGGTGGTATGAAAATTGCGTGTTACAGTAATTTCTATAATAAAATATATAGCAGGCAAGGCAAACGACGTCTTTTTTGTGGGGGGTAAAAACGACGCCGTTTCCCATGCCTGCTATATATTTTATTATTATATTTAAAAAAAGACAATATAAATTTACTGCAATACGCAACTTTTCATATCTACCACCAAATATTTAAAGCAGTATTATTACTATAAAATTAAATATTATTTGAAATTATTAAAAAATAAAAATACTAATAATATAAGATAGAAAATATTTCTAAGAGGTAAAAAATTAGTTGTGAGTAAAAAAATTAAAGAGAAATAAATTAAAAAAGAATTTTAAGTTGAAAAGAAAAATTATTTATAATGCAAGTCAAAACTAAGTTTCTGTTTGGAATTATTAAGAGAAAAGAATTTTAAATTGAAAAAGAATTTATAATGTAAACAACACAAATATTTTAAAAAAATAAAAAATAGTTAAACGGACATTAAACGTATGTGTTAAAAAAGACGCATAAGTCGTTTTTTCTGAAAAAAAATCAATTATTTTATTACTATTTCAAAATTTTCGATAACAATCTAATTTTAAAAATTCGTCGATAATTGTACGATAGTCGAATCATAAAGGTTTTACATTTTCTCGAAACTCATTTTGAGAACTATATCGTGGAGACATCGAATGATCTAAATAAATATCGAAAATAGTTAAACGGACAATAAATGTATGTGTTAAAAATGCTTATAGGTCTTTTTTCTTAAAAAAATTAATTTTTTATTACTATTTATTATTTTTTCGCAACATTTTTCTCAATATATCATTTTACTCAAAAAAAATTATGCGGTATGACGTAAATTTTTTTTTACAATTATTCAAAATTTCATTTTTTTCCAAGTGGAGAGCAAAAACGACGCATTCCTCCGTGCATAAAGTGCATGGATATATATATATATATATATATATATATATA